TTCTAGAAGTTAAGGTACTCCCAGCGTAAACTATTTTCCTAAGTCCATACCACGAATAGCTCCATGAATATGATACATATAGAAATTACCTTTCTAAGTCATTATTAATTCTTTTTAAAAAATCGGGTACCTTCTCAAGTCTTTGCCTATATAGAAAAGAGTTTAACTTTCTAAATATGTCACATACAGAAATTCGAACACCATCTTAAGTTATATCTAAAAATTAGTACATCTCCCCTAAATATGTCACATTTAGAAATTCGAGTACTTTCCTAAGTCTATGTTATATCTTAAAATGAATACAAGTTCCTAATCTGTCACATATATAGGCCCTACCTTCGGGTAAATTCCTTATAATCTCGATATATATTTGCTAACCGTTATGGCTAGTGTTAGATGTACTTGTGCACGGCAACCCCATATGTACAACACAAAATCACGTTGAAGTAATCAACATAACGCAAACTTTGAATGATTGTCTGTATTGTTTTATTTGTGACACGTTCAGACATATAACATACAATCACGCTGAAGTAATCAACATAACGCAATCTTTGAATTATTGTTTGTGTTTTTTTTTAAATTTGTGACACGTTCAGACATACAACATACAATCCCGCTGAAGTAATCAACATAGCGCAATCTTTGAATGATTGTCTGTGTTGTTTTATTTGTAACACGTTCAAACATACAACATACAATCCCGCTGAAGTAATCAACATAGCGCAATCTTTGAATGATTGTCTGTGTTGTTTTATTTGTAACACGTTCAAACATATAACATACAATCCCGCTGAAGTAATCAACATAACGCAATCTTTGAATGATTGTCTGTGTTTTATGCGTGGCACTTGTCGTTCAGAAATACAACATACAGAACATAAAAACTAACAAAAGCCAGCGGAACAGAAGAAATGTTCTGGGTTATAAATTGTTACGGTTATTATACACATTTTTTGGGTCTGTTGTGAATTAGCTTACCCTCGTGTCGCGGTATTGATCTAAGCGTCTTGGGCATTGAGAAAACAAAAACCCTAAAGACAAATGCATGTACATGTCTTAGATCTAGCAAAATCCATTCCAATTGTGGTATTGTAAATGGCTTCTGTCAATTCCGCGACGCTTAATTCTATCTTAGACAAAAGACTCGAGGTAAAGCTAGTATTATGGGATAGCAGTGTGGTACGTCTAAGCCAATTGTACCCTAGTTATTATTAGGCTCGAATCGACAAGCCGTACCCACTAGTTCAAGTAGAGGGGTATAGTTGACAATTGTACTTGAACTGTAGAGGTAAGGGTTAGGTAAATTAGTTTAGGGTTACTGGGTTTAGTGTTGGAGTAGCGTCGCCGTTGTTTCTGCTAACTGTACGGTCGAATAGGGTAAGGGCTAGTCTACCGTCTTAAGACTAGCGCCTATTTCAGTTTCAATTCATTGCCCGGGGTCAGTTTCTCACCCCCACACCCCCCCCCCACGTTTGTCCACTAGACTGCTCTCCATTACGGTCACGTGACCACCGCCATATTGTAAACTTGTAACTGTACATACCTATCGATCACATGACTTATATCAGCCCCTCCACACACACGCACACAACAACACGAACACACACACACCATGTCTTAATGGCAATTATTTTAATTACCCGTTCGTGGAGACACAGGGCAGGTCCTAGCCTAGAGCTAAACTAGAATTTATTTGTTTCAGTAAGTCTTTGTGTGGGTTTCTTGTGTGTGTTCTAACTAGTAAGGTTGATCAATACGAATTCATTCGCATCCTTATTGTGTATATATCTATATATATATATATATATATATATATATATATATATATATATATATATATATATATATATATATATATATATATATATATATATATATATATATATGATGCGTTCAGGCTGTTAATAATGATGAATATTGTGTTCATTTGTCTGTTCACTTCCCTGTGGAGCGTTAACATATGAATACAGTTATTCTAGACAGGCCATGCACACCCCTAACGTTTGACGAATGATCCCTTTTGTGCTCTGTTTTTAGTTGCGTTTGTCACGTGTTAACCGTCACCGTTTGTCTACTAGCCTTGCATCTCACACCAGCATGGAACTGCAGCTTTAAAATTTAACCGCAGTTCCTCCTGTTTTTAATAATTAAGAACCGTTACATGTGCATTATAAACATATGGCAAAACTAACAACCCTCGCCTCAAATGTAATACCGAATCAAATCCTCTACAGTCTACAGCCCACATGGGGGGGGGGGGGGGCATCATAATATACACACATCGAAATAAAAGTATGCTAATCCAATAAGCCTTTGAAAAACAGGGTAAAATAACATTTTCTAGATCAAGTTTTTTTCAGTTAATATTTTTAAATTTATCATAAATATGATTCACATTATGAACTGGGGATTCTTTATGAGCCTCAGGTCGATGTATGTTCACGTGGTACCCGTAACTGAAAGTAAAAAGAGATCAGCAAATGTATTTAGAAAGACGTTTGTAATTATGTGGTACCACATGGATAGCCCCCATCTTCTGTAAGTTGTTTGGGGGTGGCAGGGGGGGGGGTGAGGTGGGGGAGGGTGGAGTTCTGGTATGAACCTTTAAAAAGAGTGAATTCTTTCACCAACATAATTAGTTTCCCGACTAGACGTAATTAGTTTTCCGTCCTACTGTATCTACCGAGGTTGAAAACAACAAGATGAAAGTGTTTTAAAAGAAATTGCGACCAGTACTGTTTATGTACATAGCTTATAACAGAGGAAGCTAATTACTTTATTAATATATGGATAGGGTAGCATATATTAAACATCAATGAAAATAGTTATTTTGAAAAACATCAATGAAAATAGTTATTTTGAATAAGTAGAGATGTCGACTCCGTTAGTAAAAAGGATCTTAATTATATTTAAAAATTAATTTTCGACGAAAATTCGCAACAAATGTTGGGATAACTGGGCAATTGGTGGGATATGTGTAAGGATAATAGGATAGCCAGTAGAGTGTAGTTACTTGAAAAGCAGGATGTTAGGATATTGGTACATTAAGAAGAGTATCATGAAAGTTAAGTAGATAACGGTAAGCTTTCGTAACTGGTTTTCCGTGGGGGCAAACGAATAGCTCACGTGTTTCTGTGACCTCGGCGTATGAAGGTCTAGTGTGGTCAGCACTATGCCCAGCCGCTTTTACCTTCCCCAATGTGAAGGCTGGATAAACTCGGGGGCATCATATGTACGCGAGTTCGAGATTCGAACTCGAGATTCGAACTCGGGACTTTCAGGTTAGGGTTCGTGCGCTCTACCGTCTGACCACGCAGTCCCATTCGTAATGCAGGTGATAGGATACTGGGATTGAATAAGAGTAATACATTAGGATAATTAGATGACTGGGATATTGGGGTTACTAAAAAACAGACCACTAGGGTAGCAGGATTAATATAGTTGGGGGACCTACACACAGGTAACTAGGACAGTAAAATGTTAAGCGCAGTAGGTCGATTAGGATATGCGCCACTAAGATAGTAGTCTGACCTGAATAGAGACATGTTTGTTTAAATAGGAAAAAAAATTTGACTAGAGATTTATAGCCTACTACGGCACTAATATTAGCAGTACTTTTACCCTCCCCCGCCCCCACCCTCCACTAAAAACTAAAAAAAAGTGCTGTTTCTCCAATGACCTTTGTCACGACTAATATTAGCCGTGCTTTTAACCCCCCCCCCCCCCCCCCCCACTAAAAACTTTTTAAAAATTCTGTTTCTCCAATGACCTTCGACACGACTAAAATTAGCAGTACTTTTAACCCCCACCTCCACTAAAAACTAACTTTAAAAAGTGGTATTTCTCAAATGACCTTTGACCCGACCGTTATCGGACAACCTGTCGCACGCGCTGCTCACACGTAGACTATCAAAGCACCGTGCACCGTCACCTATCACACGTCTGTCTCCTCCTGCCCTGCTCACTACATGCGCGCGTGAGTTCATACGATAACTCCGGGCTATTTTTAGTAACAGCTTCACCAGGCTTTTCACATCCGGTATCATTACATGTAAGCAAAGCTGACTTTCATGTCGGGGGTTATCGCCGCTTACATCACGACGTTGTAGTCGTCGTGAGATAGATGTATTTAGACTACGACAGACTACAAATAAACAACGGAAGTCGTAATTTTTAGTTTTACTGTGAGATAAGTTGTTTTGGAGAAGTCAAGCTTAGGGCTATTTTAGGGTTCGTATTTCACACTGTTATCATCATGATGAAATGTCTTGGTTGAGTGGTAGAGCACACGGGGACTGACATAAAAGTACAGTTAACGGGTTCGAGTCATATACGTTGATGGTTAAATGTCCCCAGCTGTAAATAATGGTATATAGTCATAATCAAAAGTCGCGGATACTTGAACTCTACTTCACCTGCGCTTGCTCGCTGTATTATTATACGCTAAATTTACTGTCCACTATTTTGTGGGGAATCACATTTTTTAATAAAAAAAAACAAAATGGGAGGGTGGGGGCGTCTTTTTTTTGTTAGTTCAATCTTTAAGCATCGTTTAAAAAATACGTCAACGTAGTGAAATTCGAACGGGGTAAAGGGTAGGTGGGCGTGGGGGGGGGGGGGGTAGTGCAAGTGCATCGTGTAGTTAACTACCTATATAGACACGCGTGTGGTCTGTGTAACATAAACAATTTTAAATAGTTAGTTTTTCAGCTATAGTTACTGTTTAAGTAACCTCTACTAAGCCTGAGTTAAAATGTATACGTAAAGTGGTTTTATTATTATATGGGCCTGTTATATGTGGTTTTCCTTTAGTACGTCATTTTATTCCGTCGTTAATATTAGTTTGTATATTAACGTCTCTAAATCGACTAGTGAATAATTTGTGTTTAATTCATTATTTTTGTTGATTTTCAGACGTGTAAAAATCGGATTAAAACCACATGAATTGAAGGTTTACGCTGAGGTCAACACTATCTTCTAATCAAGATACTAACTCTGTTCTGTGAACAAGATCAATCACCAACATTCGATTGGACCTTACTGTGTTGAGCAAGAACTCCAAGAAAATGGAGAGCTCATTCCGCAAGAGTTGCTCGCTCTTGTCAGCCAGGGGCGTGTATCTGGTTCTCCTGGTGTGGGGGTCCGTGTGTAGGGGGAGCCAGGGCGCCGACCCCGTGGTGGAGCTGGGGGTGGACGAGGAGACCAACGTCGGCATCGAGCTGGGGAGTCTGGGGGACGATTCGGTGCTCCCCCTGGGGCTGGACGCCTCCGTCAGGGGCTCGCTGAGGTACAGCCTGCTGCCTCAAGGTTACCCAAGGTCATCGTTGTTCAGGGTGGATGAATACACCGGACAGGTAAGATTTTGTTTCTATAGGTAAAGTTACCTGAGTTTTAGATGGAGAATACCTGGATGAATGGAAGGCATAGGTACTCATGCTCGAAAACTGGTTATTCTATTGTCTATTTTAATCCGTGGAACCTCTGAGTTTGTTCAGCTATGATGAGTACCTGTCATTTCCCCCTGGCCAATGTCATGATTCCCTTATGCCCTTTCATGTAAAGCGTTCAAGAATCATATAGAGTGTTGGTTTGCCCTATAGACTACATGTATAGAATCGTACATATACCATGTGTTAAGTTTGTCCTGACAAGTCACGAGTCTTATAAATATAGTACATAATATATTTAATATATTTTGTATAAAGATACTTGCTTAGTTTTTAAAACAGCCACATATTTTTTACATCAGATATAAACATTTTAAATGCAGCAATGCTGGGCATTAGCCTAACAATACAAACAACTTCTGTGTGAGTACTATTCACGTATTTACTAACCCTCTGCTCACTAGGTGTTCACCAAAGAGAGAATCGACAGAGAAAGCTTGTGCGGCTCGGATAAAAAATGCGACCTCGACCTCCAGGTCGCGGTCCAGTCGGCGGTCACCCAGTTCTTCAAGAAGGTCAAGGTCACGGTCAGGGTCGCGGACATGAACGACAACGCGCCCCGCTTCCCCCGCCCCTCCATTCAGCTGAACGTCATGGAGAACGCCGCCGTTGGCACCACACTCCTCCTGGAGGCCGCCACCGACCTTGACAGTGACGTGTACGGGGTCAAGGAATACGAGCTGACCCCGACCAGCGGCCCCTTTTATGTCAACGCGAGTAAAGGCGAGGACGGCAGGAGCGTGGTGAGTACTTGGCCTGTCTTACACAGTCAGGGGCGTAGCTCTTATACCCACATTCGTTTGGTGTATTTTTCATTATAAACTTGTTACCCCGGGCTTGTCACCCCCATGCGTGTTACGCCGCTACAGTCCTTTTGTCGCATCTCTTCCGTTTAACTTGTATATAACTTACACTACATGATATGAACAGTGGCGGAGTAATGTGAAGGCTGACCGGGCAGCAGCCAGGGCCCCTTTATAACTATACCAATAAATAAATACACACCCTGATATATTGAGTCATTTTATGCCAGGAGTTCTGCTCCACCACTGAAATTGATTAAACCATTACTAGCTATGAAATGTAATTTTATAACTTAGATAATTTACGCTATGAACATCTTATGAACATTTTTCCCAACGGTATCACATTTGTAAAAATAAGTCTTTACAATTTCCCTATCGCCTTAATGTTAATTTCCATTTCATCTCTTAAAAAGATGTTTTATAATTTTCCTTATCACCCTTTAAAAAAAATCATTACAGTGTTCGCTATCGCCTCTTTAAAAAAAAAAAAAAAAAGAAACGCCCCAGTTGTTTCCGTTCTTCACCCCCCAATAAATATTATTCTTATCCCTAACACCCCCGTCTTATCTACAACTACCCCACACTTCTCTCTCCCCTGGTTAATTGAAATCTGTCAAGTCGAATAACTCTAAGCGGTAGATCGGAGTAGCTTCCCCTTGCAACATTTTCCTTGTTGATACGTATGTAGCTTTCTCTGCTCCACCAGAGCTATATTTCATCAGCTGGTGCCGTAGGTTTATGAACTGTCGGTACAGGCTTGTCTTTGAGTGATTCTTTTTTTTTCTCTCGGAGGCATCATGGTGTCAAAGAGAAAAAAAATGGGGAGGGAGGGAGGAAATAATTGTGTTTACACAGCGAGGGAAAGTTAAAGTGAGGAAGGAGGAAGGGGGGGGGGTGTTGAGATTGTAGAAAGGATACATGGAGCTCAGACATGCTTTGTTGAAAACTTGACTGAAGCCATCGGATTTTGGGGGAACGGGGAATAATAGATGTGTCAAGGATGTCTTGGGAGGGGAATTACTTTTTTTTACGGAGGGGGGGGGGGGTGTCTTCTCTGTTAGTTCAATCTTTGAGGATCGTTTAAACAATACGTCAAGTCGGTGGCGTCAAATGGGGAAGGGAAGAAAGTGCATTGTCATCGCTACACTTTTATTTTTTATATTTTTTTTTTGACTTCTTATACGTCCGCTTCTGGTACGGCTGCTTAATTTCAGTAGTGGTTGTGGTCTTTGTAGTTTTAGTGACGAGAGAAAGATAATTCTTGTGTAACGTCACAAAGTCATATCTTGTGTCGTCACATGCTCGTGAATTGCATGTGATGATGTCATTGGTAATAATGTGACGACAGAAAGTAACGTTTACTGTTGTGACATGTATTGTCATGCTATTTAAACATCCGTGGTGTCAACTACTACTTGTGTGTGACATGTCATAATACACTTTTGACATATGTCAGTGACACGCCATTGCTTTATTTTTTTAGCAATAAAATGAATTCACAAAGAAGATTAACTTTAGTCTTAATCCAAAGCATCAATCAAAGATTAACTGCGCAGCTTACTAGTAAATATAATAAAAACGACTAAATTAAATTTACTCATAAATTATTGGTCAAGTTTATTACAGTCAAATGAACCTATTGTCACTTTCTCTAAGGGAATTCACGTTGCTGCTATAGAAATAAAATTACGTTGTTTGCCTTTATTATAAACTCAATCTGCTTCTCTTGCAAGCAGTTCCCAATCTGTTCAAATCTGCATTTGGTAATGTAATTAGGATCACCCCACACTTCACCCCCGTGTAGTGCATTCGACAAGGCCGGCCCGGGGGTGAGTACACTCTGGCCATCTCCAGGCTGGCCATCAGGCACACCGCAGAAATGACTTGAGCAGGGATGGTTGCTGGTTTGTGTTAGGGTGGAGTGTAGCCTGGGGTTTAGTGGGGGTAAGGCAGGCCTAGTTGTACCGCGGGCGAGGTGTTGTATGGAGGAGTGGGTGGGGTGGAAACAAAATGGTGTGGAAGTGGTTGAGAGAGGGGTCGTTTGGTGGTGATGTGGTGCTGGTCAGTAATGATCGGGTGCTAAGGTTTTGGGCGTTGACCAGTGGTCGTTTTTTTTTTACTGTGGTGCTGGTCTTTGGTGCTTACCACTGGTCATGTTATGCTAGTCACTTGTGTTTTGGTGCTGTGGGCAGTAGCGTTTTTTTGGGCACTGACCAGTGGTCATTTAGTTCTGTTACTATGTTGCTGGTCGTTGGTGTTTACCAGTGGTCATGTTGTGCTTATCAGTGGTGTTTTGCTGCTGTGGTCATTAGCGTTTTGGGCATTGACTAGTGGTCATTTTGCTTTGTCACTCTTGTGCTGGGCGTTGGTGTTTACCAGTTGTGCTCATCAGTGATGTCGTGGTGCTGCCCAATGGCGAGTTGTGCTGTTGTATTAACAATTCAACAAAGATCCAACAAATTTTTTTTTCACCAAAACCAACTATTTTTAATTAATGTACCCTCAGTAAACAGATAAATCCGCTTGATGTTTCTAGATCCCTGAATCACAGAATTCCATGAAACTGTTTCTATCGTCTCATTAATAAACTAAGACAAAGAAATATCAAACGGATTAACTCCCCTTTCCCCTGGGGATAGATTAATTTTTCAAGCCTTATATCCGAGATAATTATCCCCCACCCTCCCTCCCCTCATTAAAACATGCAATAATTAACGCGGTCTGCATGTGGACACTGCTCTCATTATTTCCTCGTCCAACCAGTGTTACTCGTTTGTTTTTTGGTTTGTAATCAGAGAAAAATGTTACCTGAGAACGCAGGATGACACAGGTAACTGCAGGTGTTGCCTGCAGGTTAGATCAATTGACAGGCATAAAATCGATCTTCATTTTCTTCTTAAATTATTATTACATAATTTTATTTTTTAAAAATTTAATATTTTCTCTTTGTTTCCTGCTCAACATTGTTATTATGAATTTAAAACAGATTATTACTGTTAATCCTTTTCCCCCCTATCTAAATCATATGGATTTCAATACTGAACTGTATATAGGGTTGATAACCACATTGAAATGGCGCTAACCGTAAGACTTGGTTGGAAATATTTAGTCACCATCATTTCCGGGTTGACTCCGTCTTCATGAAATGGTTACACTTGATGCTGTTGTGGGGGAGTAGGTCTTTTTGAAGATGTGGTAAACCATGTATCGGTGATGACGAATACATATAGTGATAAGTATAGTACAAATAGTAAAAAAAATAAAAAGTAACGTATTAATGGGGGGGGGGGGTAGAGTAAAAAAAATGCTATATCGGAAATATTTTGAAAGTATGTATTAGTCACTCGTTTGTATAAATCCGTGGAATTCAGAGGTGCAGTAGAATAATGTGTAAGCCTATTGAGTTGTAAATCTCTAGAATTTCGGCAGACGCCGAAGGTGGTACATGCGGTGGGTCATAATTGAACCCAGGGAGATCACAGCGAACGCCAATGGGGAGTGGATACATTGTTTTGTTTGACGAACGGGGGGTGGGGGGGGAGGGAGTTCTAACAACTAATGCTTTAAGAAGAAATACAAATTTCGTTTTTAGAAAACGAGGGACACCACCCCCCCCCCCTCCCCACAGGTTTAGGGAGGGTCACATACACGTTACTTGAAGTTGGGCTCGGCCAGGTATGCGCTGCCTCTGCAGGCCGCTTTTTGTCCAGCTAAATGGACACGTTGGCTTACAGGATGATTGGTTTATGGGCTAGACACGTTTATGGCGACTTCCATGGTGACTGACCAGCGATGACGAGCCTGGTGTCCGGTCATGTGGACACGTTTTATGATGTCCAGCTACCCCAGCGTCCAGCTTGGACAATGGTGACCTTGTCAGGTCAGTCAAGTGTGGGTCAGAAGGGGGAGATTTATGGCAGGTCTGTTAGGTCTCTGTGTGTACAGGTGCGGGGTGTTTATGACCGGGGTTCTTGACGTGCAGGGGTTTGTAGGTTAAACAATGGATAGGTCATGTTGTGTTTGGTCTTTATTGTTAAATTTGTTTATTTGGTAGGTCACTTACACGTTAGGTCGTGCGAGAATAATTTGATAAACTGTTAGGTCATAAAATTGGTTTTCAGTAAAACTTAGGACAGCTAACTTTTTGGTCAATAAAGTATAATGTCATTTACGTGGTAGGTCATTTATATATCTCAATTGTTAGGTCTTTTAACGGTTAGGTCTCTAAATCGTTAGGTGTCATGGTAAATACCTGTGGTTACATGTTTCTACTGCTGTTGTGCTATGGTTTCACAATGGTACTGTTGTATAAGGTTCCACAATGGTGCTCTTATGCTGTGGTTAACCCATAATCAAAAGAACAGTTTTCAACAACAGTGAATAACTGCCGAACTTAAAAATCAGCAATCCAACAATCGTTTTTTTATACGTTCAACCAAGTTGACACGAAACATACAAATATCTCCACACTAAATGAACTCGACATTCGTGAACGAATGTACAATCCTACATTCAATATTAGGGACAATTGTCAGCGTACGAACAATCATACATTCAATTTGCCTGACATTTGAAATCCTTGCCCACTTCACGCTTGAGTGAGCGATTGTTTTATCAGAAGACTAGATCAAATCAAATTGAATTGTAAAAAAAAATTGGCATGGCGAAATGGTTTTTCTGTCGTACCCCGGGGCGCTGTTAGGATGGGGTTAGGGTGGGTGGGTGGGGGAAGACAACCAATGAATTCACTGAAGCGTTTAATTATACTAGTGTGGGATATTCGAAGTTTTCTATCATCGTAGTTTTTCGTTTCACATATTTGATTTGTTTCGTTTAATAAAATCCCGGTGCCGTTTTTAATGATGTATGTAAACGAAAATTAAAACTGGCTTTTAAATTGATTTATATCTTACGAAATTTTTTCAAAAAGTATTAAA